CGTGGGCCGAAGGAGTTGTGTGCCGCTGTCTTCTGTTCTCTCGCGAAGCTTGTGCCGCCGCACGCCGATGCCCGCCTCCTCAGAAATTCAGCACGGACGTGCGTTACGGAACGGCGTGTTACGGAAGAGCGGGAAAAGAGTCAGAAAATAACACGGCTTCCGGCGAACGGCTCTCGCGCCGTTTCCCGGCTGTCGTGGGGAATCGCGCCGGGTGTCCTTGGTGAAAGCGAGTTAGTAATTTAATTCGTTGGTAATTAGCGTTGCGCACTCGCGTGTTTGCGACGTTCAACACGTGAGAGGGAAAGAGAAAGAGATGAGGTTTGCGATACAGAAATTAACCGGAACGTGAGCTGGAAACAAAACGACCTCATTTTTTAGAAGATGTGAAAAAAATTGTCAAGTCACTCTTTGCAAAAAGTCGACGTTGTCCGTCTCAGAAGCGTATTTAAATAATTTTAAGGTCTTATTTCTTTGCGCGACATCAATGAGATTTCGAATGAAAAGACGTGAATTTAGAGAAAAATAGCCGACAATAATTGAAGTTGCGCGAGTCCGCCGAGTATCAAAGTGGTGGTCGAAGGCCAATTTATGATGAGCAATCGAACGTCGCCGGCCACTCGCGGGACAAGAATCATTACGGACACTATTATCAGCGAAAATAAGTCGACGTTTGAATTCCGTTTTTTTTTATGTTTTGCGTCGCAAAGAGAATGAGACGTATAATTAGCCACTAAACTAAACTACTCGTCGAACGACCTTCGCCGAGCGAGGAAATAATGATGCGAGAGCCTCGAAAATGCGCAGGAAATTGACAGCATTGACCGTGCATCAAAGACGGTGGCGGTTTGAAAAATTACCGCAAGCTGATGCGTATATAAAGATAGATTTGGTTGAGAATTCTCGGTTGAGACCTTCGTCGATTTCCTGCTTCTTTTTTTCCAATTTTTACCTCGTAAAAGATTTTTAAAGAGTTATCATCAGATTAAGGCCCACATCGTTGATCGATGCTATTTTAATTAATAAGCCAATTTATTTAACTCGCCTCGCGTTCGTGAGTTAAATTCACTGTAAATTTTTATGTCGCGTTGAAGTAAATACGAGTGCTCTAAATATAATCATTAAGTAAAAAGTACAGTTTAAAATCTAGAGTGAAATAATTTACGCGGCTTGTTTTGCGACGCTCGACGCATTTGTGACGCTCGACGCTCATGAATGAGACTGTGAATTAGCAGATGCTTCATTACGATAATGTAAGAACCACCGCCGGCGAAACGGGACGCCCAGTTCCGGGAGGAGGAATAAAAGAAAAGCCGCGAGCGATGGTCGATTATAGATTTTCTGGGTGGCGTCACGCGCCACCATGAGATCATCGGCATCGGAAAATGTGAGCGTCAATTCCCGCGTGCGAGGCACTCACTGCCGTTAGAGAGACAACGCTAAGAAGAATCGCCCACACGGCATCCGCGTCGAGAAGGCAGGCGATAATACCTCGTCGTTACATAATAGCGCATATACATTGCGGATAATCGCGCAATAAACGCTTATCGTGCGCGACGCCGTGTGTCGCGGGTTAGGCAAACAATTACGATACCATTATAGAGCAAGCCGGTCCCTTTTTGTTTGAGAGGAATCGTGACGCGTAAAGATTCTCCAATTCTCCGATTTTCGCTCGCTCGCTCGATTGTCTGACGAACATGTTCCATCGTATTTTCGATTTTTATTTTACGAAAAGCAAATCGTATAAAATAAATAGTCATAAATTGATGTCATTAACGCCGCCATTAGTAACGCTAATCGTAGCTAGAAATTTATATACAGAATTAATCCTTTCTAAAATCGACTTTTCCGTGAGATTCGGACAAGTCCGTTGCCTGGTTACGCAAAGGGTAACGGGGCAACGGTCAAAGAACGCACGACGAAAGGGCAGCAGCTGAGCATTATTCCGTATTTTCATATCTGATCGCGCGCACACGGGCGCAACCGTGGAACCGTGCGCTGCTTTGCGGAGATAAATCTGCGTGTTACCCTACCTTTCACTTGCGCACGTGTGCATTGCATCTCGCTGCCCTCGGGGTAAGGTCGCGTAATAAGACGCAAGATTAAGAGCGGGCGCGGGTGGTGGCGATGCGAAATGCACGCGGACGCGTAACGGGGTAGTTTTCTATCGCGTGACGGGCGAGCTCTGGCGCAAATTATTCTCGTGACGATTGACACGCCGTAATTAAAGTTACTGCGAAGTCTGAAACAACTTAAACCCAAGACTTAACTTAAATGTAGATCTCTAAACCTTCGAGGTGTTACTTCATTTGAAGATTGAACCTAGCAATTTGTATATCTATATCCGGGAACCGTAAGCACGTGTATCAAGTTTTAAATGCAGGCTAAAAAGTTGTCAGTTTATGTCACAAAAAAAAATAAATTCTTTTTTACGGCCACACACGTTTTTATCATCGTGCGACTCACCGCGATTTCATTTACATCTTTTCTATTTCCAGTTACGAGGAGCGACTCGAGAGGCACGGTTGACGCGTTTCGGAGAGATCGCGTGGTGTAACCGTGCCTTTAACGCGAACTTCTAACACAATCGCGCTGCACGGGGTCACGGGGAAAGGGAGAGCGAAAACGAGACTTATGCAAATTTTTGTTCGCTCGCCGGGCGCGCGCAACCTTTCCGCGTCGCATAACTTGGAGGATACCGTCGCGATGACGATTCTAATCGGTGTGTTTGTTGCAGAAATTCCATTGCGATGTGTTACAAAAAAAAAAAGAAACAAGATTTTGCCCCGCGGTTCTCTCATTTGTATTCGACGAACGAGTTAGGTCGTCAAAACGCGGCGGACGGGTGTCACGAGCGCGCGATTACGTCACGATCGTGAAATATGCGTAAATCGTAAAAAAGTAGAAAATTGAATGTACGCAAAGCGTTAAGCAAACGTTCGCGTTTATGCATGAATGAATAAGATAGACACACGATGTATAACACGGCCGATCGAAGATTAATTCCTCGGGATTATTTTAATCGCGGGAGTAAATTGAATTTTCTTCGCGCGCGGCACAAGTCCGTTCAAATTATACGTTTTCAATCTGACATGCGGGGCCGCGTTAGATGCGCGTGGTATTCGATATATGGTAACGCTGCCGGGATTCCGTAATGCTGGCTACAGAGGCGCGACTTGTACCAGGAGACTTGAAATATTCATAGATGCGTAATCAGCGTGTAGAACGTGCTACGGAGTCGCTCTAATAACGCCCGAGATTGAGCCCTCGGACTTTGCCGCGGCCGGAAGTTCGAGTGTCCATGAAGGGGATGGACAACACGGCGCTTCGCGGAAGATCGTCATTAACGCTTCACGGCTATTTTGAGTTCTATTAATATCTCTGAAATCAAGCGAAGCGCCACGGCTACTCCTCGCCAAGCCCAGGTATGATCTAATACGTGATCGTATATGCGCAGGGTGTAGCAGAGAAAACATCCGCGCGCGTCTTCGATCGTAGATCCGCAGAGAGAGAGAGAGAGAGAGAGAGAGAGAGAGAGAAAGAGGCGAGCGAATGAAAAAAAAATTTCATAGAATTCTACTTAAAATTCACTGGATATAAAGTGTAGAATACGTAAACACGCGCCATGTCAATATGTGCCGTCAATTCTAATTGCTACTTTCACCAGGATGACAAATAGCCTCGCGTTAATTGTCTGCAGTAATCATTCAGTAAATTTTTTTTCCTATCGATATCTATGTCGCGATAGCGCGCGTATGTTTAATTACTTTGATTCGATTTGATTGGAGAATAATTTATATTAGACGATAAATAACCTTGTCGAACGATGAGAATTACCTGGCCTTTCGCGGAACTACCGCGAAATAGCGCGGTAATTAATGACGGCAACTAATAATCGTATAATACGGCGAATGAGAAATGTCGCGGAAACTTCGATAAACCTTGGGAAAGATAAAGATACAGGCGGGAGGATGATATTTGCAGAGTGTTGCAATCGTGCACACTCGAGGAAGTCCCCGCTCGCAAGCAGCCGCAACATTTTGTGTTACGATCGATTGCGCAAGCGGAATGTCACGGCGGTGGCAATTCTCACCACGAGAACTCTTCGCCGCGCTCTCTCGTCGTTGTGTGCGGTCTCGACGGCGGATTATTTCCTATCAATCGAGAGAAGCGGAGGTGCTGCCCCAGGTATGCGATCGCCGGTTACGCGACACGTAATATTCACGACCGAAATTCGAACGCGCCCGAGCGAGCCGCGGGCAGTTACAAGGCGTTACAAGGCCGTCCGTTTCGAAGCGCGACAGCCTCAGTTTCGGTATGGATTACAGGCGCGGTGCGGCGCTTGAAACAATATACCGATACGATATACCGTCACGCGGTTCTATCACTCTGTAACGCAATATTATATAATCTCTCCGGCCGGTGGGCAGATAACGCGAATCAGCGACCTCGTTGCGTCGCCCGTTCAAGGAAACGAAATTTTACGCGACGAAACGGCGCGAGCGACTTCCCTCTCTCTCTCTCTCTCTCTCGCGCGCGCGCGCCAACTCCGAACATTATTTCAAACGTTGTTCGTTCCCTTCGCCGGAAGTGTGGAGGTAAAATTCCGATCAGGCCGAGATATCGACGCGTCATTAAATCGAAATCGGTGGCTAAGGTACACGATACCGTAGAAGCGGCGTGTATTCCCGTCACATCGACGAACACGCGGTCTTTGGTAAATATTCATGATGTATACATGTAACGCTAAGCTGCGAGGAGGAGACGAGACGGGGCGAGCAGACAGGTGGAGGAATCTTCCTGCATGCGAAGGCAGAACTGCCGCGTGATAAACTCCACGGCTGCGCGATGGCAGCACGATACAAGCCTCGTGCGCACGTTGAATAGCGATATATGCGCCGCGTGGCATACTCGCGCCTTACTTTTCGCCGTCGTCGTCATCGTCGTCGAGCTTAAATTAAGCGGTACCCCGCGGCGTCAGAGAATTCAATCAGTCTACTCACCGTCGGACGACATTGCCAAGGGTAAAAGATCACCGGCAGCCTTCAGTTGATCGAACTTCTCTATTAACAGGAGCATTCTGTAAGCAGAATGGACGACGGAGCTTATATAACGTTGCGATCCAAGATTTTTATGGTTTCGTTAACGCATCGCGCCGATTAGTTGATATTGTTTTAGCGAGGAAAAGAGAGATGTTTCTTGAATCGCGATTAGAAGATATGCCGTGAAATTCTATGCAGCCGAGAGACAATCGCTTTCTCCGGCCATTTCACTTACTTGGCTTGCGGCACATTGTGCTTTCTTTGCAAATCGACGCGTAATCTCTCGCCTACGTGTCGATAGATGTCCGCCAGCGTGTTGAGAGCCGTTTCCCGAACCTTTTCCGACGGATCGGACAGAAGCTTTACGATGCTCGGGATCACCCCTGACAGTGCCATCTCGTCTGCGCCATGTCTGGAAAAATTCAAATCATTTCCATTTTAAAAACGAACCTATCATCGATTTTTCGATAGACATAATCTATTTCAAATAAAACGTATTGCAACTCACTCGTTCAGCGTTGTCGTCAACAGAATCAGGGCCTCCTCTCGTAACTTTGCATTCTTGTGATTAAAGGCCGGGCGAAGTCTATCCAGAAGATTCTGAGGCGACATACATCCCTTCTCCATAATTTTCAGGAGCACCATTTGCGCCTTCTCCCTGGTAGCATCTTTACTGTCGCCTGTAACAAATGCAAGATTTAATCGTCGATTCGATCACACGTGAAAATCGGGGAGAGCGTTATTCGCGAATATCGTCGGATCGCGCGTATATACGTGCGGGACGCTTTATTCTCGACTTCGCGAAAGCGATCGGCGGACCGACAAATATGGTGTACACATCTGTCATAGACTTCAACCTCATTAGAGGCGTTTAAATGTCACTCCGGCTCGTTCCATTTGAAACTCATTTAGCGATTAACGATGATTCACCAAATATACGCGGCAAAATGTTCGCGCGAAACTCTCATCGTTTTCGAGATACAGGGATGGTACTAGCTTTCTAATTAATGTTCGATATTTAAAATTACCGGCTATCTTTGCATCGCGAATACGGGATATTTACAAGCCGGAATGTACACGGGTTTCTACCGGTGCCAATTATCGGCCATCGTGGGCCGTTTGTGTATCTTATACCGATCGTCTCGTAAATAATAATAGAAATTTTCGATATCGTGTACCGTGCCGGCCGATTCCTCCCCGAGGACGATTTACGAGACATGCACAAACGGATGGAAACAAAATACGCTCCGTGTACTCACCTAGCCTGTCTATCGTCGGCTGGATGATGGTGGAGATGTAAGGCTTGAAGTCGTGACCCATCCGATCCGCGAGATACGTGAGGATTTCTAAGCCATTCTGGACAACCTGCAAAAGAAGAACACGTGCGTCGTTTGAATTTATGGCGCATATTGGCCGATTATAGCCGCGGTGGCAATGATTGTCCTCCTTCGGCGGGATCGCAACAAGGCGATCGAGGTCTACTGGTTAATTTAGCGAGCGCAGAAAGTGTTTATATTCCATTACGGTATATATTAATTAACACTTCCAACTACGGCGAAAAAACCGGCTAATAATAGAAGCGCGTTGACGCAATCGGCTCGTGGACTCTTCGTTTTTTAAACGCGATTATGCCATTCAAAAAGTTTTCTCCAAATATATTTTATTTTTGTATTATCATACTTAACATTCATTTCATATTGTTCATTATTTTTCTCGAATGGTAAGCCGAAAAAAAAAAGGGAACTAATAACATCAAACGAAGAAGAAAAATACTTTATCAATGATCGGCTATTCTTTCGAATAAAATATCCGGCAATTCATCAAACGAGAATAAATCTCTTTTCAAATTGCAACATCTATGTGATTTAAATGGAGAGATAGGTGTGAAAACACGGAGAGAGGAAGTAGGCCTAAGAGAGATGGCAATATCTCGTGCCTGCGCGCAATGTTGACATGTCTAGTGCTCGCGTGATGTGCAACATATCGATCCGGAGAGAGACGGAGCCTATCCTCTTGAAGACGGAGAATCGCTGCGCTATGTTTCCTCTCCCCATTCGTTATTATGCGAGTCTCGCCAGACGTAAGTGCACTCGTGATTATACGACTTCACGTAATACGACACGCGCAGAGAGAGAGAGAGAGAGAGAGAGAGAGAGAGAGAGAGAGAGAGAATGCCGTTTCTGTTAATCGCGGGAATGCACAATTAACCAACCAGCAAATTTCTAATCGAACGCTCACAGTTTAGTGCCTACTAAACGCGCGCGAAAGGCGACTGCATAATTACGGTGGAAGTTATAATTAAGTAACGCAAACCATTAAGCGAACGCCAACGATAATACTATCTTTAACGCGCGTGTCGATTTTAATATCCTATAATACACAACATTTACACCACGCGCCTAAAGAGGATATGTAGGTGAACGTAGGTAAATTTAATTTTTCATTGAGCAGAGCTGTTGTTACCGTCACAACACGCTGCAAAAGTGTTTCGATGCAGTGCGGCGGTTTAAATGCATTTAACGAAGTGCTATACATAGGCGTATAAACCTATTTTCGAGCCGCGGGGTAAACGTTCTCTCAGGGCTATCGTCTGGCTGTGACATCATTGCTCAGCACCGAGGGTTTTTGCTCTCCTCTTTGGTTTTGCTCCTCCGCGCCATTATCTTGAATCTCTCGATGAAGCTACATGCACCTCTGATCCATTCACGATTGCAACCACGTATTTACCAAAGTGACTTCCACATTTTATTTCCACGCTACACTGCATCCGCAAAACGTAAACATCTCGATAAGATCTATTTCTGTACACGTCTTTCGATATCAATTGCAACGATTGTCGATTAAGTAAAAACAACACGATATGCGATAACACGATTATACATAGCGTAAAAATTTAAAGTTAAAAGATACTATGTTAAAGAAGTTCATTGCACACCTACATATAAGTTAATCGATAAAAGTTAGTTAAAATATTTTTCAAATTAATGATCGACATTCTGAATGTTCCTAAATAAAAATTTTCGACAGTTACAATTCGCTCTTCGTGCAGAGCGAATGAAAACCGCTAGTGGCTCTTTGTAGCGATAGAACTAAAACAGGAACGACACGCGAGAAGAGTGTCATGCGAAGTCGTACGCACGGCGGCACGTGTGGGCGAGAGATCCACGGCCTTACTTGTCGAACTTGGGTGCACGATCCGTTAAAACTGTTGTTAGCGCGCTACGTGGGAGGCTGCGCCACGTTTCCCTCTCGCACGCACGCAGAAAACGCACCGCAAACGCGCGGATTTCGCGTCCGCGAGGCGCCACGTGGTCGGACGAAAACGGGAGAAGGAGGGTTCTCCCCCGCGGGAAACGCGCCCTCGCGTCGTGAAAATACGGAACGCGTATTTTCGGGCACCGGCGAGATATATCGGGTATCAAATACGTCGCTGAACTTCTTGGCAGTTTAACAGAAAAGCCACAGGAAGCGAGAGACGAGCTATAGGGACCGCCGCGCGACGGTTACGAAAGCGCGAATGCGAATGTGGGAAAGCCGACGAGTGAATTTTCGTCGGGGGTCTTCAAATAAGATTTTAATGCGGAACATTCAGTTATTTTTGGACAAAGTTCCACGACTTAGATTACTACTATACGGTTAGACGAGTGGGCGATTTCATTTCGTTAGAATTTTAGCTCTCTTCGTCGTCGCGTAAAGATCTCTCTTCGTAGATACGCGGCTGCGACGCGAAAGGCGAGAAATGCAAAATTTCACCGTGCCCGCGAGTCGGTCGGTCGGGCGATTTGCAACGGACTATATTTGGCAGCCCATATTCTCCCCCCGGTTATCTCTCCATCGTCGTGAGACAAACGTGCCTCAATGCGCGAGATAAAGCGCATTTCGATAGTGTCGTAGCGCTGTTCGTTCTCGTTTTATTGCGGCAATTCCGAGGCAAAGCGGCCGACATACGGCATTAGTCCGACATTAGATGGAAGATATGCCCGAGTATACACAAAATTCATGGAATCCTAAAAGGTAATGATCCGCCGCTTCGAGTTCACGAGGCGAACAAATTATAACGCGGCATTCGTACAGAAGAACGACTGAGATAACTGATAAGCGGGGACTGTGGCTCGACTCTCGAAAAATATACGTCGGCTGAGAGCCACTCGAGACCGATTCGACGATGACGATGTGCCTTTGCGGTTTTTTTTTTTCACTTTTCCATCGCGAACATTAGAATATGCACAATATTGGCGTATCTTTTTCTCTCTTCATTTTTAAGTCCTCGCGAATGTTGCAGACGTGTGTACTCTGCGCATGTAAGTGGCATTATGTAAGAGACGTAAAACGCTCGCACCGCACGGTATACGTATATACGTAAAAAAAAAGCCATCGAGGTGAGGGTGATGTCATACTTTAAATCCTGAAAAGGAAACATCTCCGCGGTGGGGCAAAAAAAAAAGTGAGTAGAACGCGACGACTGTACAGTGGCTTGCGGCGGGGTTCGGTTCAGTTCGCGTTTTGTCCTGTGTCCTTGACATCGATACACGGTGCACTCCGGCGCCTTGGCAGAAATGGTGCAGCTATCATAAGGAGAGACATTGTTAAGTCTAATTACACGCGGCGATTCGCAGCCGCGGGCGGCCATGATTCGACAACAAAGAGTACTTTGCGCCTTAAGACCTCTATTCATCTGCACTTTATATGCCTTTGCGTAAAGTGTGACGGCGTAAAAAGCAACGCACCGCATTCGTGTCGCTCGTCTGGCAGCGACAAAAGTTCGACTGTCAAAATAAACCGAGCATCAAATAGGAATCTTTCTCAAACAATTTATACAAGGAAAAAATAATATTACTGTAAGAAAAAATATAGCATTTTACAAATAGTCAATACTTTATAGTTTATATAGTCTCGCATTCGTATTGATAAGAGGCTTAAAATAACATGACAAACATCTGATTGACAAAAATACAAAATAAATGACAGCGAAACGATAAAAACACAGGACCGTTTTAATAACAAAAGATCTTGGTATCCAAGAAAATATCGCGAAGAAGTAAAGGAAGTTTAACAAATAAGTTACGTCGCCGGTTCTTTCATTTCGCTTCGAGGAATCGGAACAAAAAGAAGTCGCGGGCTAACAACTATCGAGAATAACTTGTAAAGGAAACATGTTTTCTCTCATTCGTTCGGGCAGTCCGCCAAAATCGCGAATCGCAGGGCGAAAAGCATTTCGCTGAAGATTAGGGACAGTCTCGCACGAGCGGACGAGGTATGTTCATTAAAGAGACTACCAGCCCGAGAAAGCGAAGCTTTTTCCAGCGGTGCGTTCCATTCTTACGCTCCATTCTTACGACCGGGACACAATGGGTCGTCGTGGGCAGCGGACAGCTGAAAAGGCCCGCTTTTAATGCACTCTCGGGTTTTAACGTCACGTTTTTGTTCCCGCCCTGTGGTGCGCCGAAGGTGAAAACGGCGCGCGTGCCACTTGCGGATTCAATATATCGTCGCGCGACGGCAACAAGTGGCATAATCGCGCATTCACGTTCGACTCTCGTCCGAAATTTTAAGCGCCGGAATTAAGCGCGAAACACGCGCACGCTTCCGCCGTCTCGTCTATATGTTTCGTTCAGTTTACTGACGTCCGACACGCCAGCGCATTATGCGAACTGAACGAGGCATTGTGAGGAGTGAATGACGGTCGCTCTCTCGAATCGAGTGGAAGGGCACATGTGAGTCTCATAATTAAATCGCAAGAGCCACGTTCTGAAATATGAAAGATACCAAGTCAAGCCTGGAGATGCGATTTTTGCCTGAATGCAATTTTAATTGGCATAAACCTGAAAAAGGGAAGAGGTTGCTTCCTATAGAAAGGAAGTAATTTGCGATTCTGAGCGAGAATACAGAATTAACGAAACTTTACTTCCAAACATGGACCGTTGCAGCGATTACTATGAAAGATGCAGAAAGGAGTTACAGATAAAGACACGTAGAGGAAACGGAGAGGTGACTCGTACGACAATAAAAAGCTGCGCTAAAAATAGCAATGAACGCTCGATTGTACGTACAAACGCACACGAGTGCAATTTCGTTCTTTGTATGGGCGCGTATGCGTAGCAAAACATGCGAGCTCATACATAATGCAGGAGTATTTCTCCAAATTTTGACCGAAACTCGTTTCGATTATTTATTTATTGCAAAGTGATTTTTTGTAAGAGATTCCTGCCAATGAGAAAGTGACGTAAAATGATCTATCGATGAGCGTTGGCTGATAATACATTTTTTTTTTAAGTTCGCGCATGTATCAATTACATGGGGATCGTGAAGTAATTTGATAAACAAGTGAAACACGAGCGAAATTTCTGAGTAAACTGTACAAGTAAAACGGAGTAAAATGAAAGAGAGAAAGTGATTATTATTATTATATTAAGTGATTATTAAAAGAAGAGAAGTATACAATTATTAATTTTATTAGTAATTAGAAAGAAATATTTAAAAAATAGATATCATCCTGTATTTTACAAAATATCAATTTGTCGCAATTTATCTCATGAAGAAACGTTTTATCGCCAAATACATAAAAATGTAACGCTACAATGAGTCATTCGTCAGCGTTACCGCCCAAACGACGAGAACGATTTCTTACTCCCACTCGTCCTCAAGTAGATTTTGCCACACGATACAGGCCTTTCAACGTTTCAGCTAATGATATAACTCGTAAACAAACCATCGTGTCCGTGAAACTGTATCTTGTCGAAGATTTATCAAGTCTTATCAAGATTTCATGAACAAGGAACGATCGAGCTTTACGGAATAATCTCGGAGGCTCTTAATTGATCGTACAAATTTAAACTTGACCTCAGCTAAGTATTTAAGGCAGACGTGTGAAAGTGACGAAAATTTTGACGTAATCGGGAAGGATTATTGCGCGGAATGTGTAAGTTTAAATCACTAGTCACTAAATCAGCTGGTATACCTGATGGTTTAAATCCCGCAGCAAAGTTTCAAACCGCTCTCGATGCTCCATTAAACTGTCACTCGGGCCTACCGTGCATTTCTCTTGAAAGGATCAAAAACTCACGCGGCCATTACCGGAGAACATTTAGCGACGTGACGGCTCTGACTAAACGACATCCTTGCGTCGATCTTTGGTGACGCGTTAGCAAAAGACACACGTTACGTACATGGCGTGAAAGTTTTTTCCCTTATTCGCGAGCGAACCGAGCTCCGTATAATTCTTCGACGAGCGAAAGATGTAGAGTGAATTAAATGAATTTTGGAGCGGACATGCGTTCAGTGAAATTAATTCTAAGTCTTTATCTACTAATTGTAAGATTTAATTTTTTTGCTATTAAAAATCGAGACGAGTTTGGGGAAAGTCTGTTGTACAAATTATTTTGAAATTCAGCAAACCGGTTGCGCGTTTCTAACTCGATTATGTTTATACGATCATGATCGTTGTCCTCGAAGATCGAAGTAAGTAAAACGAACGATGGCACGTTTAATTCGGTGAGAGTATCGAGAACGTAGGAGTACAACTCAATCGGCAACAATAACACGTCAAACTCGATTGCTCTCAATCGTTCGATTGAGCAATTTAAAGTATCGTACCGGTGAGCCGTCTCCAACGTGTCCTTTACCAAAAGAGGATCTCGAAAACGTCTCCTCTCGATACGACACGAGGTGCAACGTTCTTTCTTAGAGACGCGATCGTAAATAAACAAAACAAAAAAAAATTCAACACGGCGAACAAGCGATGGGAGAAAGTCTAACGATAACATCGCGAGAATAATCTTCTCGTGACAAAAATACATTGAATTTGAAAGCGCGGTCTCTCCGAGCGCATGAAAGTATCTAAATTTATAACGGCACGAGGTCATCCCGATTATTTGAGTGTTAAAGGTTGCATACAAGCGCATGAATAACGGACGGCTGAGAATCCCTGCATGCACACACGCGCTCAAAGTAATAAGTTTGTCACTCGACACATCCCCTCCGGCTCGGCATCTCGGCGATCGTACGAAATTAGGATCGGGTGAGGACTAATGTAATGTAAGTTGTAAGATATATACATACACGAAGGAGAGGAAGATTAATTATAGAAAAAAAATATGAGGAACAAGCATAGAAGTTCAATTCACGCGAGTATTGCATCCAGCACACAATTCATACATTACGAAATGATATTTTCACGTTTATAACCCGTAATCTCGTTCCTCTAATTAATTAAACGTGCCAATGTCTATTTCACTTTCTCTTCAGTCCTTGTATAGACATTATCTCATTACGTACTCGTCACGTTTTATTCTCCGATTCTTGGCGGTTCAATACCGCATTGTGCGCCGGATAAATGCGGTCGAAATCGACATATCCATACGCAGGAAATAAAAGATTAAAGGCTTACTGCGCCGGGATGTATAAACATCCCGCTTCGTGACGGAAGCTTCACAAAACTATGCGTTGCTTCAGTTTATTGCGTAACATGCAAGAAAATCCCGCGATGCTTTAGATACATTAATTAAGTATTTTTTTGCGTAAAACTACTATTTATCGTCTGTAAACGTGTCAAGTGTCATTGCTTGGGTTTTAATTCATGTCGCGATGCAACGTAAAATGTGCGCCGAATATATGTAAATAAATCGACACGATACGGCGCCTTTCGCTTCTCGAAGGATTGTTTACGTCGGACGGTGTTATAATTTACAACGTTTATTGGCGTTTAGTCTTAAACGTGACGGCGCGACATTAACGTCTCGCTGCACGCACGCGGGTGTGAGCAGATAACTGGAATCTTCAGAGTAAACAGCTGCACATCCCCTGTTGAATGTCGACGATCAAAGCTTGCGATCACGGGCTCTTTAAAATCTCTTTAAACGCCATCATATATAGCTACTCTGAGCTTCGTCTTACGTAATGCGCAAGTACTTAGCGTTAAATAAATACTTCGCAACGGCCAGCATTGTGGCTTGAGCTTTCGTCTCCGAGTTGTGGAAAGGGTTAAACACAGGTAAACACAGGTTCCGGCGGTCGTAAAAACCGCAAAGATGTATTATCGGAAAGAAAAATTGGACAAATGCCGGTCACTCGCTGCTGCCGAGGAAACGGCAGTAAATTATGACAAGCTGCGAACGAACTTTCATCGGCACCGAGGACTGGGGCTACTTGCTCCGGCGCGTCAACCCGGCGCGGCTGGCGCGGCGCGCCACCGCCACGGCCCGCTAAATCGGTCGTTCCCGTTTCGCGACGCGCAGGTGAGAACAGGGGCGGTCGCGTTCTCACGTGCGAGCGCGAAAAAGCGGCGTTTTACGGAGCGCGTCGAAGGCGGCGGCGGCGGTGGCAGCGACGGCGACAACGGAGAACTGATCAATCGTCTCCTTTCTCCATTTATGGACCGCGCGCGTCATATGTGCTCGACTAGGAGACTCGCGGCCGCGAATCCAACGTGATCGACTTCGATCTAGTGCTCTTCGTAACCCCCATGTGACTTAAAGTTAAATGGAATATATACTCGTATATCTATATTTCCTCAAGTTTCAATGATTTAATCAGTATCTTTCATTTACCAGTTGTGTAATCTTTTTAAACAAGCAAAAAACTGTGATTATAGAAGGTTAAGGGCGAGTTAATTCGAGTTTGCATATTGCTCCATTATTTTCTCAATTATAATTCAACTGTTAATGAAGAACAGCGCACGAAAGACAGACTTTAGGTGCGGATGTCAATAAATCTGATAACAACCTCCAAAATATATTTGCAACGACCGTTACGAAAGTCATTCTTGCCGCAATCCTCAAAGTGATAAACAGCGCTAATAACGAGATAAATTAATTTTTTGTATAAATACTACATGCACATTCTTATCCTTTTATCAATAAACGTTTATCGACTATCGATTTTTCTTAGGCGTTCTACGTGCGTCACTTTGTAGAGGGCGAGGAAAAAAATCGAGTTTCACCGTCTCCGTTTTAATTTTAGCGTTTAATAAAGTGGAGGCCAAGTACGAGCAAGATAACCGTCTATAAATAACGTGAAAGTCATTCGGAAAGTGGCCGAAAAAATGTCGCGGGTAAAGGTTAGGTGCGCTCGGAGTGATTCAACGTCGGCGCGAACGACCTCCGACAACGACGTCGTCGCCGTCGCCGTCGTCGTCGTCGTCGTCGTCGACGGGAACGCTTACCTTGGGATTACCGTTGCCGAGCCACGGTATGATGTTGTCGATGAACATGCCAATGTCCTGGCACTCGATGCTCTTGCTTGAGTCTCCGAGGTAATTCAGCAGCGCGCTGCCGACGTTGAGCTTCTTCTTGATATCCGTCGTTGACAGGAGCGGCATGAAGCCGTCCATATCACGCGGATTCACCGCCATGGCTTTGGGCGAGATGTGCTAGACGTCGCACGTCGCCGTCGTCGTCGTCGTCGTCGTCGTCGTGGCTGCGCACGTCGTTGCTCGTCGCCGCCTCCGGAAGACGTTTTCCACCCGCGGCCTGTCCCTCGCTCGCAAGCGGGACAAGGACGATACGCGGAGAGGTGGTTCACTCGCGCGCACGTCAACAACACACGTTACCTTGCCGCGGAAAAACGGGGCACCTCGCGTCCTTCGTCATGCCAACGGGGTCGAGCCCGGTTCACGCGGGGGGAGCGAGAGAGAAAGAGTGCACGGGGCACACCGCGAGTCCGCCGGCACCGACACCGTCCGCGCGATTTAATCACCGTCACTGCGGCACTCGTCGTCGTCGTCGTCTTCGTTACCGCCGTTGCCGCCACCGCCGCCGCCGCCGCCGCTCGTCGTAACGTTCGTACGTGCGGCGCGACCGCCCGAGCGTACCTGATTTTATCCCACGGGCGAGTCTCGTGGCGCGAGCACTACACACCGAGCGCGATCAGCAGCGTCCGTCGTCGTCGTTGGACCGCTCTGTCGCCGTTATACCGCAATGCAACCCGAGCAACGAACGCGGCGAAACGAGGGATCATCGGCACCGTACACGCGACGCCATTTTCGTTTTGGCCCGTCATGGCGCCCGTTGGCCGTTTGTCGCGCCGCCGCGCCGCGCGCCGCCACTCGGCCGCCGCGCCAACTACTACCTCCTTCAAACGTTCGCCGTTCGCGTCCGGTACTCCGGTAACAGTCGTTTGAATCGCGCGTCGCGTCTCACGGGGCCGTTGCGCGTCCCGCCGCGACGTAAACGAGTCTCGAGTTGGCGATGCGGGTCGCTCGTTTTTCGCGGTATCACGAGATTAATCGCGTCGAATTGTTCTCCTCGGATCCTTCGAACGACGACCATACATATATATATAGATTATAGCCAATCGATAACGATTTTGAATTTGAGCGAACGACGATCGAGGTGAGAGATTAATAAATAAATTGATAATAAAAAAATGCCAATGCTAATCCGACGCGTGTTGAACGACACGCCACGATAAAAGCGTATAATGTTTATCGTTCGTACTTACGGAAATACGACGGCGATTACGCCTCGCGAATATTAGTGTGACGTAAAGTTGCGCGCGGTTCGGACTGGCCGCGGAGCGAGCGAGCCGTTCGATTTGAATTCGGGTGAGTCACGTTCCGTTAGACGCGCGTCGTATACGCTTTTCTTAATGAGGTTTTTAATGGAGGATATAATGAGATATTTACGTATATGTATATACATAGTTACATTCACATATACAATATTAGGTATGTACAGTACAATTTTTGTTATCGCTTTTTGTGTCGCGCTTGTGCGCGCGTCCCCGCTCGCTGTATATATAATATACCGTCGTTACCGAAAAAACGCGGGACGAAAAATACGCTCTCGCGAGCGACGGCGACGCGCGGCTCGCGACGACGACGCTGTGATTATGTGAAATTTTTTTCGACGAAATCTCAATCTCCGCCCTCTTGATTCTCGACAATTGCGCGGCTAACAAAATTCCTACGAATCTCTATTCATATAGTTGTACGTTACAATCTAGATAAGAATGTGAACGGAAAGTGCTCGTGAAAATAATTTCGTTGAGATCGGCGGAGACAACTGTGGCGTCTCATTTTTTTTTTTTTTTTTACGGCATTTTGTACGTGGAAATATTCGGACTCGTGGTTCAGCGCCAAGTTTAACGGTAAGGCGCGATCACCGACCTTTCGATTACATTACAGAAGGGTGGCAATTTAATTGCGTCCGCCAGAGTGTGCGTATGTACGTGTACGCGTGTAACACGCAACATTTTCAGAACGCGATTATCCGGCAGCGCCGACAGTTATTTGTAATTAAACAATGTTGCATACACACGCGCGCGTGACGTATCCAGCAAGGTCCCTCGATGAGTCGCGAGTCGCGTAAAACAGTTCAGTTTGTCAAGAAAAATAATTGCCACCGTCCTTATCAAAATTGACAAACGCTGTATGAAAAGTGTCAATTAACGCCGGCTACAGAAAATTACGCTCAAAATAAATAGGATCTGTATATGTGTATATGTATATATAATAACTTAATTTATATATAAATAATTTATATATATTATATATATATGTATATATTACTCTTTATAAATAGCATATTGCATGCATCCTTTGCACTAATTGTTTTCGTTCGACGATTGGATAGTCCAAAACTGAACGTCTAAAATCGCTAAGAGCTATATCACAATACGCGGCAATAAAAATGATGGAGCTACATTTAAATTTCACTCATCCCGAGTGCCTAAATCCATTCGAGCACGCGCCTCCGATCTATTATTATCACGATCGAGTGTATCATTCGGCTGTCCAGATTGTTCCAGATAATTTGTATAATATTCGCGATAGCGGTACTACTCCTCACTTATCGGATATACGCTTATCTCGGGACAGCCGTAAGATACTTACATTTGATAGGCACGCGTCGTTCCTATCGCGTCAATATCAGCGAAAAATATTGAAAAAATATCTTGTTGAACCTGGCTTGGGGTGAATGCTACGCGTCTTACGTCGCGAAGCTTCGTATATGAAACAGCATGACTGCCGAAGCCGCGAGAATCCCGATCTGTGCCCAAAACGCGCTGTTCACCGATCGAACGCACAGCTGATCTTCGAATTAACGAATTATATAAATTAATGAAACACAAAACGTTTCGTATTTGTGATGACAACAGTACGTTTTGCACACAGACTTATATACGTTTAGAATTGTATTATATTATGTTATACGCTTATATATGTACAAGTTCGTTCCGCGTTTTAGAGATAATCTGACCGTCGCAGTCATAATTGGCATCTTGTAACTTTCTATAGGTTCTGTTTTTTCTTTCGGCTGTACGCTTCGCGAGCAACTTAGTGGACCGATTGTATCTTGACGAAAAACGAGACAGAGAAAGAGAGAAAGAGACAAGAAAAGTGCTTATCATAATCAGTTATCTTCGAACGTAGCGTAAGTGAACTCCATTTCGTTCACCTAATTTGTCTAGATTGTTTGATATTTCGCTGTGGATTAGTACAATATTCTAATATATTTGTTAAAACGCTCCGAGAGACTTTAACGTGACAGCGGTCGCATGTTAAAGGCAAGCAAAAAATAGTCAATGCGACTCGGAATAAATTTGTGTAAGAGTATCTAGATTAAACTACACAATGTCCTAGAAAAGTAACTACATATTGCTTTTTTCAGCGAATGATGTCTCATAGTTTTTTTTTTTACCAAATTCTAAATGTTAGAAAGATTTTATAGAATAAGTTCGAAAACGTTCTCCAAGCTGAGAGATAACATGTAAGCGTATCCACAAAAGGATGACGTTAGGCTTCGTAGTGCCCGAGGAGCTAATGAAATATTTTTAACGCAAGTTGACGCTAAATTGACTAAATTGACTTAACCCCGATTATCCCTACTAAGCATATAAATATAAATAGAAACGATTTGACTTGAGATACTGAGTAAAACCCAGAAACGACGTCTTCGCGGAATTAATCTAACGATTACCCGGAAACACAACCCTTTATATTGCCCTATATCACATAATGGAAAAATCTATAAATTACGACACGCAATAGACAGAAACGTAATATACGACAGTAGTGCACGTAGCGCAACGGAAAGGAGATACACCTTAATTATGTTACCATTTTATAACGATCTTGAACACTTTCTATTGTTGAATCTTTGCCACGTTGTCGTGCAAATTCCTCCGCGATAAGGCTATTGTTGCTGCAACTGCTGCAACAGCGGACACACCTCGACTAAGGGAGTTCCCAGAATTTCTTGGCATACTTGGTTCATGTCCGGCTCCATCATGAGTGACGAGATTTGATCCTCTGTTAGCATCTCCACGCTAATCGAAAAATTAGGAAAAAGGAAAATGTTACGATATCGTCGATCAATGAGAATATTATATCAGGGGAAACTTAATTACCTGGCTAAACTTTCGCTGTCCGACGTCTCCTCGTCGGCATTGAGATAGCTCATTGTTTTCTCTAACGGACTCGGGACCTTCTTTCCTTTAACTTCCGACTTTTCAGGCTTCTCAGACTTGTCCTTGTCTCTCTCCGCTGTCTTTGGTTCGCTGGAACGTCGTTCCGTTAAGCTAGATATGTTTAGCATCATCATGCCGTGATTGAGTAATTCCTTAACGCGCTCCCCGGTGCCGCCACTCCACAGCATATCGAGAGATTGTCTTCTGCTTGAATTCGCTGCAACGACAATATCGCTCGCGTAAATAAACATTGCATTTTAAGAAATATATAAAATTTCTCGACGACACATTTATCCACTTACTGGAACTACCGCCACTAGTTTCACCACCGGCCGAACTTCTAGTTATCCAATTGGCTAAGCTACTATCGAGCTTGCTTCTACTCTTCACTGACGGACTTCTCGTAACCTCGGCTTTCTTCTCTTCGCTTAAAGTCACTTCGTTCACCTTCGACATCGTGGGTAAAGATTTTTGCGTTACTAATCTCTTTCGAGGACTGGTCTGCTCCTTCGGCGGCTCGACGGCGGCATTAACTGCCTGCGAAGGTTCCGGACTCAGGTCCATCGGTAGCGGTTTGTACGGGATTTGGTCTTCCTCGTCGGAATACACCTCGTTGTTGTAATAGATTTCGTCCGGCGAATTGTTCAGGCTAATTTCCGTCCACTCCTCCCCGTTTTGAGAATTAGCAGAATTATTCTTGCGGTCGCTTACGGGCGTCTTGATCTTTACTCTCTTCTCGACCGGAGATACAACGCCCGACAGATCCGTCAGGCCTGGCGCAGAAGAACTTGTGTGATTTAGAGGTACGATATGTTTCGAGTCGATCGCGGTGATGCTCCGTGGACGGTCCCGTTTTATGTATTTACGAGGTTCGGTGGATGAAAGGTTCAGATTATTTAGGCCCAGGTACTCCGACGATGAATCTCTCTCGATCTGAAACGAGAGGGCGCGGTTAAATTTGTCGATCGATAAAATTAAGACGTATACGATCTGCCAAGGATTTACACTTACTCTTGTAGGCATGGGACATGGCACGTTCGGACTTATCTTGTCGGGAAGGCGTAAGTATTCGTCGCTGGTGTAATCCGTGCTGTCCGGAGATCCAGTTACACTGGAATCCGTTGGAGTCGCCGTGTTAACTTGCGCAGCGGTGCGATCGGGCGCGTCTCGTGCATTCTTATCGTATTCGTCCGTACCGTCGTATCTTCTTGTCTGTTGGCGAAAGTATAATGAAAATTTTGTGTACACGACTTGCGAATCACGTTATATATCACACAAGTATATATATTCGTACCCTGTGAATCTCGTCGCTGATCTTTTCTAAATTTCGTAACGCTGCCGCGTACGAAGCTTTTGCTTCGCTGACCGATCTCTCCAGCGCACTGACCTTCATCTTCTGCTCCTCCAGCATTTGATTAAAGTGCGCTTTCATCTCGTAGTAAGGCCTACATGATTGTGCAATATTTTATTAAGTTGGAGCTATTTCTACAATTCAGAGTATATTTATTTACGCATAACAATTTGTTGCATGGCAATTTAATTGGGTAGAAGCAATTCGACGAATTTTGTGTGCAGTATATTATCTATCGTGAGAAGCTCAATCAGAAGAAACAAAAACTAGCGGATTATACGTTCGAAATATTCTCAGAAAATATGTAATTCATGCGCAATCAAAATGATGAATTAAAATTAATGAACAAAAAACTAGTTCGATAGCACACACAAAATAAATGTCGTGTATTTAAAAAAATAAATAAAAAAGAATGTCTATCCTACTTACAACATGAGCAAGTTGTGCCTGTAGGCGATACTGTTTATCAGAAGCAAGCTGCGGCGTGCACCCATACTGCCAACATGAACATATAACCAAAACACATAAATACCAATAAGAGGTCTATAAAAAAAACAACATAAACGTAATAATCATTCGAAAGTAATTCGATGATTATTTGAGTAAAGATAAAGTATGTGTCAGTAGCAACAGGAAGAAACAATAAAAAGGTTTCATATATGTATAAACAGTTATTGTGTTTCGATACATTAACTTGGTTGTATACAAGGTTTTAGCTTTTCAAAGTGATTCGTATATATATAAAAAAAATAACTATATGCAATAACTTCATGCATTGTAACAAAATCGGGGAAAAAAAGGTATACTCGAGCTCCAATTAACGGGGGAGAGGACGGCAGGTTCGTCACGTACCTAGATTTGGCAATAGTGCGCTTCAGATCGCGCTGCAACCTCTGAACTTCGTGTTCCGCTTTGTGATATAACGCAGTCGTATGCCTGTGCTCCGCTTCGGAGAGAGCTCTCTCGTGCTCCGACTCATTAACTCGCGACGTAGCATGATTCAACATTTCCTGTAATAATATATTTCATTACTTGCGTAACACATCTTGCGCATTACGATCTCTTTCGAAGACTCGATATCAATCAATCTTACCTGCCAAGCGTGGTCAAAACATCTTCCTTCGGTCCGTAGTCCCTCCTCGGCCAAGTAAACCATTTCTTTAGCTGCCGCATGTTGACTGTTGGCTCTCTCGAATCTAATCGCAGCCTTCTGCGTTTCTTGTAATGCCTGGGGGAAAAAAAATGTTTATAAATCTTTTTGTAAATCTATGCAGGAATACAATATTATACAGATACAAAGCGATTCTCACCTCCTTCGCTTTAAACCTAGCGTCATAGTACGGTCTGGATTTTTCAATGCAACCTCCAAGTTTCTTAGCCAGAGCATCAATCTTGATTGTTGATTCACACAATAATTCTCTAAAGGTTGCTCTTGCTTCCTAAACATAATAAAATACAATCTTTCTATGAGCCAAAGAGATTAGAATATATGTAAGACGTGTTATAATTCTATATAAATTCTAATAAGCTCTATAGTGTCAAATTAAAAAATGATTTCTTTAGTTGAGGCCATCATGGACTGCTGTTAAGATCATCGTTTCAAGTCATTATCCATTTACATGTATCTTACACAGCAATCATCTCAATAAAATCTAATCGCAACCAGTTTCAAAACTTGTCAGCAATTTTGTTCCTTGAGCATCATTCATAACGCAATATGAAATATACAAGGCAAGGGACTATTGCCATATGCAAGGAAATACATGTTTTAATAGAAAACTATACTTACATCTAAATCAACTTCTAGTTTATTGATGTCGTCCGTAGCTGTGTTTAATCTTTCAAGTTCAATCTGAAACAATAACATGTATTTTATCATATCATAAAAAACATATAAATATATATTACTTTTTAGAATAATATACATTATTTTATATGCTTATATAAATATATAAAAATGTTCTAAACAGACACGAATTTTTTAATAATTGATAATTATTTATATAATTGTTTAATTAAATAATTTATTTCGTCTCTCCTCCTCGCCAATATTTGCATATGAATTAAAGAAGCCCCATGCATTGTGCCCCAATTTCTCGCGTTGAGACAGAATTACCGGGCAACGAGGGTAATTTAGCACGCGCTGTCGTGATAATAGGCCATCCCAGCCGGGCGGGGGAGAGAGAGAGAGGGGGGGGGATTAAGAATTGGGGACGTTTTATGACTGACTCGTGCGTGTGTGCGTGCGTGGGCGAGTGGGCGGAGAGAGAGAGAGAGGAGAGGAAAGTAGGAGACGTTCACGTAGGGAAACGGGACTGGCGTTACACGCACCGGGACTCGTCCGATGAAATTCGCCCATTTGAGCACGTTTTTCCCGTACGATTCAGTCGCGGCGAGGCCTCTTCTCGCTTGACACGACGACGAGAGTGTCAATATCGTGAAGTCGCGCGGGGGCCCCCCCCCCGCGGCTCCGTCCGGGCGACGCGCACGTTAAGACGGCGGCGGCCACTACTCACCTGCACCCGCGGGTCCACTGCATCGTCGACGCGATCGGAATCATCGGCGCTGTCCTTCTGCACACGTCCGCTCATAATTAAATCTAGAGGGTGGATTTTATTTACAGCTCTCCCATGCCACCTGTGTGTATCGTCTGCTAGACATCAGGTGGCCATGTTGGACGTCAAAACCGTATCCAGCCGTATCACCGCGGCGGCGAGCACAGGGCCGTCGCCACGCTGCGTGCTCGAAACGGGAAGGCATGCGCGCCTTCCTCGTCGCGGGTCTCGCGGGAGAGCGAGCTCCCACAGCCTGGAAATGTCATCCGCGAGGTCGCGCGATAACTGAATCGAATTTTGCGGCGCAAATCTGCCGCACCGGATCGAAGCAGATTACATCATTGAATTTGTATAATTATAGTACAAGGATTTCCGAGAATTTTTAATAAGACCTCAGTACCTATAATATTTATCTGTTAATATACGAAATTTTTAAAAAATAAAATTGAATATATTTTAATATAATTATTTTAAATCGTTTAATAAGATTTTGAAGATCGTTTACTATTTTTACACTCATGTTTATTAGTGGATAATGTGACTTTTGATTGCAGCGCTAATTATCTTTTTCACAATTGCATATGGCATATTTATATATATCTTCTTTAAGTATTTTCGAGGCACATTTAAACATGCAAATAATTTTATTGTTCATCCATCAAATGATAATTCTTAATTACCGATCTGGGTCAAAATATTCTGTCCAGATCTGTGCGCTGCAATTCGACTTTTCCCGCCGAGCAACATGGCGCCGCGGTCGATCGACATGGCGTCGCGAGGATCGATTCAAGATGGCGGGCACGAGGAGCATGCCGACACTGCCGACAGGCGGCGTCGCACGCGCCGGTCCCGCCTGGCTCTCAAACATACTTTTCCTCCGTTCGCACTGGTGAGTCGAGTGCCCGTCCGAGCGGGTGGATTACAGTTCTTCGTGGGGGAAGCGGCGACGTGCCCGTTCAAGGAACGACGGTCACCAGGCAAGCACAACGATCCGTCGCGGCCGGTAAGTGAAAACACACGATACACATACGTCGCGCACGCCGGCGTCGCCTCGCGCCGCGTCGCGCGTTTTCGGAGCAATTCTCCGAAAGGAAAGAGGAGCATGATCGCCGCCTTCGAATTTCCCTCGGGAAATGACCGCGCGTGTCCCGAGAAAATCGTGGAAAATCGTCTCTCTGAGAGCACTGGGGCACTGCGGGGCGCGCGCGCGCGACTCCGACTTTCTATTTCGGCATTTTTATACGAGGAGGGACAAGCGCGCGCGGTTAACTTAACGGTGGAGAGAAACGCGCGCGCGCGCGCGCGCAAAGGTCGAGCCGGGCCGTCGTCGGCTCCCCAAGCAGGAAGGGTAACGCGTAACAAGATGCATGTGTCCTCGCGATCCACGATTGCCCTCTTCGCCACGTTCTCTTCTTTGCTCCGCCGGGCTGCTCGTCTCGTGTTTGACCGAAAGACCGGCGCACGATCTTGGGACTTGGCACGGGGTCTCTCTCGGTCGCGCACGCCGGCGCGACATCAAAACAGAGTTCTCGTCTCGCGCCCGCGGGAACCGAAAGTGAGACGCACTCAGTTATGTACGCACGTACCCGGCGAGTCCAATTATTTTTTACGCCACGGACGCCGCGTAGAAGAGATCTCGCGTCGATCGTCTCCGAGATCGTCACGGCTGAGTATCTCGGAAATTCAGCCGGGCTGTCGTGCGTGTCGAAATCCGGAGAGTTCACGGGAATCGTACATACTCGGCTCCGATATCTGTTTACTTACCTACTCCCGTGTTTACCTGCGCGTGCTTATACGAGTCGTGTTTTCGTTCGCGCGCGCTCTCACCAGAGATTCCACGAAAGGAACGAAAACACGGCGTTATCGGCCTTTGACCGAAGGGATTGAACGACGGGGCTCGTGTTGCAGTGCTGGTGCGCGCGACGCGTAACCGTAAGCGACAATGTGAGCGGCCTCGCGCGATCAGGTTGAATTTCTGACGTCGCGCAACTGACCCAAGGACGCCCGTGGAAAACGCTCCCGCACGCGAGTTGCATGCCGTCAAATGTCAGAAGCACTTTTACCGTAGGATTCGCCGACGTTTCGCGTTTTCCGTTTCGCACCGGCTCGTCTCCTTTTCGGCCCGATTCAGCCCCGACGACGTTCAACGGGGTCCCGTCGGGCGGATCCCGTAAACATGTTTCAGCTGTCGTCTCATTAAGGAGCAGTCCGTCTCCTGCGCCTGATTCTTATTCATTATTGTTCATCGTTTATTATTATGTGCAGTGCCGTTCCTTGAATGTTGAAAAGGTTAGCGACGCGCCGATAAACGCTTCATATCGTACGAACGCCCACTCTTCGTCGTGTTCGCGACTCGTCTCTCAAATCGTTTTTTAAAGTACAATGCGTATAATACACGAAGAAATCAATATTCATGATCGATTCGCAAATTAGCGACCTTCGCTTAATTTGCATACCGAGCCGCATATCGATTGGTAATAGAGCAGTAAATTTAGAGACTAATTGATATCGAGATCTAAAGCGAGTGCATTTATTAAAATATATCGAATATGTTGAAGAGACACGTTTTATATTAATAATTCGAATTTCCTCTCGACGTTCTCGTAAAGCTACAATGGAGTATTGTTCGCGGAGCGATGGAAAAAGCGGAGGAATCCCGTCGCCGCGAGTCCTCTTCCCCTCGAACGTTAACACTACCGTCGACGACAATAAACGGAATTCCTCGAAATACGGTATTTTGCGTGTCGCACGCGCGTTAATCAGCCGCTAATGACCGCTGCCGAGAGCCGTCTTCCTCCGCCGAAATGATTGATTAATCGCGGCTTCAGTTTTCAATTAAACGGGGATATTAATCCGTCACCTAGTGCGTGGAAATGAGTAATACTCTCGGTGTTGAGTCGCGCACGGCCTGGCGACCGCTCGTCGCGTGTACGCGCGCGCGCGTGCGTGCGTGCGTTGCGAGCGAGCGAGCGAGCGAGCGTATAAGTACGTCGTCGCTTGCAGGCTCCGAGTCGCGGCCGGCCGGCCGACCGACGCCGACGGCAGGCCTGACAAAAGCGACCGGTTTAATGGCTAAGCGAAATGGCTAGGCGAATCGACTTTTAAAGAGCCACCCGTTGCACACACCGCACGGCGGAAGACACATTGATACGAGGCGAAGAGCAGCCGGTGCGTGCGTTGCTCGCAGGCAGGTAGGCAGGCAAGCAGGCAGGCAAGGCGAGGTATTCGAACCTGCCATTCCCGACAGGACTTGATGGCGTCACGTCACGGCAAATGTCCGCCGCGAGTCATTCTACGCCGTTCTCTCACCGCCGTCGTTACGTGTCCTTATCACTTTTCTCAAATAATCCGTGAACGTCAAACACGTGCGCGCTCGTGTGCGCGCGCGCACCTTCCAGTTCGGCATGACGTGACGTTATAAACGAGCGAGTTCACGGGATAACAGCGAGAGACGAAATTTCCTCGACGAAGCGCCGGAATTGATATCCCGAATCTACGTACGATGTAGAATAAGCTGGATTTACAACGGACGACGAATCTAGTCTATTTAAATATTTAGAATAGCTTGAAGGCACACTCTTATATATATTTAATTATTTAATGCTTTTATATATATTTAATAATTTAATTTACTGTTTGATATTATGAAGATGCCTCTAAAATACTTAGCAGATTATATTTGCTTATATAATTTTATGAGAAAGGAAAATTCTATTTTTTTGTGTACTTTGTGTAATTTTCGAATCGAGAGTGGTTCGTCGGGTTCTTCTCTTTTCTTTTTTTTTGTTTGTAAGAGTTAAATCATCGCCTGGCACCTTTGACGCCAGGTAAAAACGATAGCGATCTCGAAGCGAGTCGAACTTACGTAAAAGATCCGCGAATACGCGCATTCTTTCTAGTCAATGGCGTGGATACGTGGCTCGAGTCACCCGGTACAGGCGAAGGTAGCAATTTATTGCAGGGAAAAAAACGGAAAAAGATAGAGAAGGAACCGCGGAAATGCCGGCTGTGTTAGACGCAGGCAATTTGCTCTCCGGATGGCGAAATCATCTACAGTTTAGGGCGTTATCATGACTCACGATAACCGGGACCGGAGCCGCAGCGCGTCTGGATGCGCTTCGACGGCGACACGCACCGGACGCTGCGCGGAAAAGTTCGCCTAGTTACGACACTGCCGAGAGAGCAGCAGGAAAGCGGTAATACCGCAAAGGAACGGGTCGACTGTTGTTTTCGTTTCGCTTTGTCCCCGTATTCCGGTGCTGCCTACATACGCGAGCCACGTACTGTGAAATGTCATTAGCCCTGAACGGAGGGGGCGTATAACAGACCTCGTGATATTAATTTCGCTTTAAATGCAGCTCTGCGGCGCATTTAATACCTCCTAAACTAGAATCGAAGAATATTTCAGATGATTGTTTAAACGTATACAGATATTTTTTTTAGGTAAAATTTTCTATTCAGTTGGGGGATCGTTTTGTTACATTTTTTCTTTCTTTTTTTTTTGAATAAAATTTCCGTCGATTAGTTACAACAGAGATCTGCTTCGTCTTTGTTGTCGAGGGAACGACTCGCACCTGCTGGAGCTACTAAAGCACATCGCAGATGCGTTGCTCGAGGCAGATGTCGATTTAATCTTTCGCTCTCCTCCGATTTAACGTCGAAAGGTTCCGCGCTAATAATCCGCAATAATTCTTGCAGAATCATGTCTTCATTCATCCTTGCGTGTAGTTTTATATAACGCGATATAACCTCAAGTATTTTTTTTTTTTCATTTATACGCTAATTATTCCCATTAAAAGGCAACGCTGAGAGTTTTTTTCCGTACTGACACGTACGTATTTAGCGTACCTTTGCCATCTTGATGACAGTTCGAATATTAATGAGCACTTAAATTCTTTCTAAGACGCTTACAGGAAGGAGGAAGAGGAAGATTCCTTTTTCCGGTGAGCGTCAATCGATAACGTATCAATCAATACAGTCGCACCATTCGGAGTAGTTGGTGTACATATGATAAAGCGTAAAACTGCTTAGGACACTTATGAAAGCACTGTGTGAAAGCATGTGGAACGTGAAAAACGATATCGCGCGCAGTCAAACCTTTAGATAATATCCTATCTCGGACGTTGTCGTCGCGTACGTAACGGTGCAGGCGGCCCCGATAACTCACCCGGTATGTAAAGAGAAAGAAAGAAACGTCGACCCTCTGTCGCACGACGACACA